ATATAGTCTAGCTCTCTGACAGCTGTTGACCCAATTTATTTGACATGGTCTTTTTAAAGTTATTTTTTTTGTCAACCACTAAGCCCTAAAGCTTATCTTATGGATTTTTAAAAGCGTGTGCTAGAGTTCTATTCAGCAATATATCTTTAAATTACACTCCGAAAAAAAAATTTTTTTGCAAAAATATCTCAAAAATTTCTAAAAATAAATTAGACTTTTAGAAATTCTGTGTACAGTAGAGGGTTAATAATTAATTCCTAATTAATTAATTTTTTTTTCAACGTTTTCGTCAAGTTTTTCCTAACACAACATCACCGAAACGCCTATTATAGCATAAATGGTTATTACTCTGAAATTCACAATTGTATCTACAGGTGTGTCAAGTTCAAGGCTAAAATTACTGATTTTGATGACGTCACAGCTCTTATTATTACTGCACAGACCACCCCCAACGCAAAAAAATTAAATTTTTTCGACGGAAATGCGCGTAGAACGGCGTAAACAATCCCATACGCGCATTTACGCGTTAAAATTACCATTAATTTTACGTTTTTTTTAACTACAAAAAATCTCCATACTTCTGCCAACTATGGAGCAGTCAAAATCATATTTATCAAAACAACACAGCGCCAGGGATGGTCAGGGATAGTATATATGTCTGAAAATACATGCTAAACCAACAATAAGTCATTATAAAGGAGTATTTCCTGTCTGAGCTGAGTCGACATTTTCAGACGTCTGACAGGCGATTTTGAAATCCACGCTATTTATAGAATTCGCACGATGCGTCACGGCTGGAAGGTTCCATCGCTTCTCTCATATCAGGCGATAAAGTCAACAAAGAGCTAAGAGCGATATTAACAGTAGTTTACCGAGCACAAAATTAAGCGTAAATATTCTCTCATATGAGCTCAGCCGCTGGAAAAGGGCTAGTAATGGTATGCAAACACTGCTGGACTGTAGTACATGCAATGAGCATATATACGCTCATTGAGTACATCAGATAAAATGCATCATGTATTCAAGGTATTAGTCAGTATTTAGTGGTATTTTTACACTCATGCTGTTCCAAATATGCTTTTCTTCCTCATTTTAGATACTGTACTACAAAAGAAAACGGCAATGTTCTACCAATCCGACTCAACGCAGGCTCTAATCCCTGCTGCTATCAGTGCTATAAAATGGATTAAACAAGAAGTCTTGAAGCGTAAAGGTATATGAGAATCATAATAGTTGCAAACAGCTTATATGGGCTATTCATATTGAAATACTTTAGCACTTTTCTGCAATTGGAACTGCTCATCAAACTCATGTTGGAGACTTCATTAAGGTTTTCAATTCATTTTTTTTCTCAACTATGAAGATCTTTTGAGGTTAACGAGGCATTAATAAATAAAGCTGAGGAATTTGTTTGTTCACTGTATGAAGAGGATATGAAGAATGTAAATGATACCAGGACACGTCTATTTAACACTGGCAAACATAAGGATTATACTCTCCCACCCAACAATGATTCACTGAAGAAGCATGTGACCCTCAAATCAGTTCTTGAGTTGGCAAACTGCAAGTGTAAAAAAAATAGTCAAATTAATTTTTGCAAGTGTGCCAAAGTCAACTCAAATTGCACAGATTTTTGTTTTTTTATTGACTGCAAAAATCACAGTACACTTATAGAGGAAAAGTCGATTTTCGAGATAGTAGATTTCGAAAACAATTCAGAAGAAAGTGAATTAGATATTGCAGTTGATTTAATAAGTATCATTTATTTGTTTGTTTTTTCGGACATTCGGACACAAATAATATTGCCTTTGTTCAAATACATAACCACATAAACTAAAAAAAGACTAATTGTAATATTTCTGTTTACTATGTTATGTACATACTGTACATTCATTTAATTTTCTTGACTTTTCCGGTAAATTTCTAAGTGAGAAATACCTGATTTATTTGTGTTTTCGTGCTCACGATGTTAATTTGTGACTTCATTGCTTAAAAATAAATACGTTTGATAGCTTCTATGAAATGGATGTAGATTTTTATGCTGTTCTTGTTGTAAACTGCCGGTAAGGTGTGCTGTAGGGCTCTCGAATTGCATAGTTCTTATGTATGTGTTGTAAACTTATGGTTATTGAATTTCCGGGAACCTCTTATATTCAATTTCGCATCAGGATTGTGGAACAAGCCTTAATGCGTTCAGTATGTTCATTTTCACAAAAAACTAAAGAATTTATTCAGTTACCAGATGTGCGCTACGAAACTCATTTTTTGGGCGTTTTCAAGGCTTCGTCTCACGGCCCATATCCGTGGTAAGGATCTACAAGTGTAACTTACTTATACTTTTTAACAACGTTTTGGCATGACTTAACTAATAACAAGAGAGCTATGCTCAAATATATGGACACATAGAGTCACATAATTTTGATGACGTCATAGCGAAAAAAAAAGTAATAGCCTTCTGGAGAAAATTTTTATCTTTAACCACTAAAAATTTCAAAGCAATTGGTCCAGTATTCGAAGAGAAAAGCGACTTTTTAAAAACGTGTCAAGCGGTACTGAGTTAGCAGTCAGGCAGCATCTTACCTGTACACTGTAGGCCATATACGGTAATTGATCACAGAACAGTTGTTCCCTTGCAAATTTTATGTTGTTTACACTTTAGGACAGATAATTGATCACAGAACAATTCTTCCCTTTCAAATTTTATGTTGTTTCCAGTAGACTCTCATCAAAATAAACAAATATAGTAGGCTACAAATGCTACAACGCTTGCATTACTGCACTGGTAGGACCGTGAAAGAATAAGTTACGGTAATTTCATTGTGGTAAGACACCGGTACCGGCACCAGTATCGTACTTACGTACTGAGCTACCAGTACCGGTACCGAACCTGTAGGTCTGATATTCCGTTCCGCATACGATAGGCTATAAAACTTGCATTGCAGCATTAGTAATACCGCGGAAGGAATAAGTCAATTTCACTGCGTTACGGTACCGGTATGGCAACTTACCAGTACCGACCTACAGTAGCTGTAGTACTGAGCAAGACAATCGATCGCGAAACCGCTTGAAATAAGTGTAAAACAGTGTTCCCATGAGTAAAAATAAATACCGCGAAATTTTGTATGAAATATCATATCTCATAGGATTCATATAAAATTTAAGAATAAACAAAAGTAATAGCCTTCTAGCGAAAAAACTATTCTTTAACCACTGAAAATTTCAAAGCAATTGGTCCAGTATTCGAAGAGAAAAGCGACTTTTTAAAAACGTGTCAAAGAACAAGAACAACAACAACAACAACAACATAATATTGAAACGATCGTTATGTCCACTACGTGTCCAATAACTAAACAGGGCTATTGAAAGGCTGCCCAACTCAACGCAAGATCGAGCAGTAATACCTAAGATTCATCCTCTCGCTAACAGCTGATTCGATTCAATTGTTACGTCATGCAGAAGTCATTGTTCATTGCCGGAAATGTAGAGAATATAGGACAGATTGTAGCACATAATTCTTGTAGTAAAAGCGCCTTTTCCGTAAAACGTACAACTTTTTGAAGTGGGAACAAGGCAATATTTGTTACTAAATTTTTAAGGAACATCTTAAAATCATTTTTAGGTAGTTACCTGATGTGCGCTACGAAACTCACTTTCTAGGCGTTTTTCAGGGCCTCGGCTCGCGGCCTATACCTCATGAGGTATGTAATAAGACGGCAGCGGAATATACTATTGTTTAATGACATTTCATGTTTATTTTTAATATATTGTGATATGGCTGTTTTTTCACTTTCATTTACCTATTTTTTATGATGTTAATTTGCTTTCGTTGTCTTTCAATTTATATTATTCATGATCACTGTACCTGGTATGACTGTTTAAATAATGCTAAGTTTGCAGTTTGACTTTGTTATGTAACCTACACTCTTAACAGAAAAAGAGGATATTTGCCATTTCTATCTATCCACCCCCTCCATTGGGGTGTAGTGATAAATTTTCCGCCTCACTTCGTTGCATAATTTTATATACACCGTGCTAATGCATTCACAGGGTGTGTTCCAAACATTTTCTCCACTGAACTTGGTGGAAAAGCATGAACGCGTCATGTCACGTGATATCGAGGTGACTGTGACGATGTGAAAAGGCTGAACGCTATTGGCTGAAATCGTTTCGAATATTTTTATGCGCGGTGACTTGACTTATCACTCTGCTGAGGCTTCGATGAAACTCTGTGCATAACAGAATGTCAGCGGTAAACAACTCCAATTTTCAATAGATAGAATAAGTGGGTGGGCACAGTTTGTGTTGAACTTGTCCCAAGCTACAATATGTGGAAAACTTACATTGTGTGGAGAGGTCTGGAGGTTTAAGCTTGCTGGTACAGGTAAGATTTCGAATTATTAGGTTGATGCTGATAAACAAACGCGAAATTATAGTACCGGTACGGTACCTTAATCTAGCCATAATTAAACAATCGATCAGTCAGTCAATCCACTACTACTATTAGCCTACAGTGTTCATGTGGATTCAGATTGCGTTCAGTTAACGTTGCCAGTCAAGCAAACCAAAGCTTTGTTTGCCAATGTCAAGTGACCAGTACTAGATAAGACTAGGCTATAGCCTATAACGGTAAATACAGAAATTTAACGTTATCAGTAACTTATATCGTGAGTCGTAAATTCTGAACTTCGTAACAAGTAACGTGAGCTAACGGTATTCTATCTCAACTAGCCTAGATACTTTTGATTTGCCAAAACTTCAGATCTTGGTCCAAGCTTTGTTTGCTAACGTTAAGTTGACCAGTACTAGGCCTAGATAAGATGGTGTCCTGAAGCACGTGCCGCAGGTACTTATAGTTGGCCTGTCCTCGACCAATTTTTGCATATCTAATTTCTAACCCCCACATGACTACGTCATCAGGAAATTACATCACTGCATCACCTTCGCGTCATAGAGCTTTCTAAAGTATAGTTACGCAATCCGAAATGGCATCTGTGCAGCGATCTCTCTTTTATCGCTGTATCGATATCGTTTCGACGACAAGAAATAGGCTAGCTTGCTCAATTTCGGATGATTGTCTGTGCAACCATTCGTATACTTTTGAGGGCCGTATTACGTCATTGCGACTTCGCAGTGATGTGATTTTTGGATGACGTAGTCATGTCTGCATGTGGGGGTTAGAAATTACATATGTAAATATTGTTGAGCCAGGCCAACTAGAAGTACTTGCGGCGCATACTTCAGGAGACCCGATAAGACCATATAAATACAGAAATATAACGTTATCAGTAACTTATATTGCGAGTCTAACTTCTGAACTTCGTACCAGTAACGGGAGCTATCTCAACTAATCTTGATTTGCCAAACTTGCCAAAAAGATTCTGTACAGGCTATTGCTGTATTGGGCTTATTTATCTGTTTGGTGAGTCGAGCGGGAACAATTTATTTTTCTTTCGTGCTTAACTTGGAATTACACAATTTTAACAGCTATCATACATTTTGTTAGTAGCCTACTGAGCACATAACTTTCTATTCAGGATGTTGATTTTCTTGAAAATGAAGATGATCACAGTATTGGGACTTACAAGTCTGCAAGTAGATAATAGCAGAGGAACTAAATGAGAGAAATATAGCAGATGAGCAGTGCTGCAGTGAACAACTCATAGGTGAGTCTTGTTATTTTATGCAATAAGAATATCGCCGGATGAGAACAGAACAGGCCTAAGTCACAATTTCGAGTTTTGAGTAAAATGCAAAAAAACAATTTGTAATTTTTTTATTTTCGAATTCCTAAATATTCACACTTAGTAAATACCTGAGCTCTGGTTATTTTAGTGTGGATGAGAATATCTTTGTAATCGATATTTTTTGGCACTTCAGCTTCAATTCCTTCCAGCTTTTTTACCCCCATAAAGGATTTTTGGCCCATTCTGTTCTCAATAACTTCTGAATTTTTTGTATGGGATGCAAAGTAAAACAAGGTGACTTAGGCCTAAGTTGCACTGAATAATTTTTTAGGGATGTAAGTTTCGGACATTTCATTTCTGATGTTCATGCTCATCATACTGGAACTTAGGACTCTTTTTTTTTCAATATTTTGGGGTTTTGAGCCATGCTCTACATTCTACAAGGTGGTGGTCTTGAAATCCTGAATTTCTCAATAATAAAAATTTAAGCTGGACTTCGGCCCATTCTGTTCTTAACTTCTACAAAATATTATAGTCCTAGGTCCAGCTGAAATTTTTATTATTCAGAAATTCAGGATTTCAAGACCATCATCCACTGTGTAGAGCATGGCTCAAAACCCCAAAATATTGAAAAAAGATGAATTTTCCAAAAATGTGACTTAGGCCCCTTCTGTTCTCATCCGGCGATATGCAAGTCTAATAATGGTATATGTTTTTAAATCTAGTGCGTTGTATTTGGGTGTAAAATACAGTAAAATAATGTCACCATTACAAATATATTGTTGAAAATAACTTTCTATTCAGGATGTTGATTTTCTTGAAAATGAAGATGATCACAGTATTGGAACTCACAAGTAGCTAATAGCAGAGAAACTAAATGGGAGAAATATAGCAGATGAGCAGTGAACAACTGATAGGTTGGTACATGTTTTTAAAATTAGTGCGCTGTATTTGGGTGTAAAATACAGTGCGAAAATGAATAAAATAATGTCACCATTACAAATATTGTTGAAAATTTTTCTATAAATTTTTGACTCTATATAGCCTATATGTAGATGTATGATGATATCACTCTATGCTTTAAAATCATGAAGAGTTGGAATCAATACTTATTACTTATGTCTAGCCCTAGTGGATTGGGATATAACTTAGTTCAATATGACCTTGGTAAGTAGACAAACTGGAAAAATAGCTAGTCTGTGTTGTTCAGCACTTTTATAAATTACTATCATAAATTACTTGTCCAGCACAAGGACTCCAATTCAGTTGGAAACATTTGTATTGAATATGTTCGAAGTTAACATGCGACCGTTTTTCTACTGCAAAAGACATACTCATCTAATCTCTTTTTTTGTATTTTTAGATTGTAAGTCCATTCCAATGATGAACTCTGGATCATCACTAGATCACAGTTCGAATGGAAGCTTTAATTACACAAAAGCAATGGCAGTGATGGACTCTTTGTTACAGGATTTTCAATCTACAAATACCAGGTAGCAGAAAAGCTTGACATTCATCACAGCATGCCTACTGCTCCTGCCAAATGAAGAATTCCCATTCAAAAAACAAAAAAGGCGTAACTTGACTTTCTCATTACGACTGTATTTATCTGCGACCTTTAGTAGTCAATTTCGCCAAATATTTACTGTTTTAATAAATTGTTTAAATCTTGAAAACCTGTCGTGGTTTCATGCTTCCTTTGGGTGGTTATAGTACGTTTCCAGGCTTGCAAGAAGGTTGATCTTCCTACCGATGTGGGTGGGGTTGTTAGGGTGGAAATGTCAAACACCTACTCAAAGGGTGGAAGAGTAGAAAACCTTGTGAACCAAATATTTCGGTGGGAATTACCACTTTCTGCATTTAGAGTGCGTAGCTTCGTAGGTATCGAGCTTAGGGATTTTCCGGTACTCCTGAGTCCTGTGGTATGCGCACCAAGATGTCGCATAACCTGAACCTTAACCTGGTACACAACCTGAGTTCAGGTTGTGCGCCATCTTGGTGCGCATACTTCAGGAGGTCCGATTTTTCTTTAAAATAATTCGAGTGACATCATTGCGATAGAGCGGAATCGATGCTCAAAGTACAGACCAGAATTGTCGAATTCATGCTTCGTTGGGACGAAATGCAAAATCATTCTCGTCACTGTCAAGTTTATGTTAATTCACGTGACGACATAACTGGCGTTGTTAAAAACGTTTGTGACGACAAATTGGTATTATGACGTTTAAAGTAATTGAACGTGATTGGTTGATGTTTCACGTGGGGTCATTAGTTTACGATTTTGCTGTAAAAAGTTGGTTCCTGTTTGGCAGCGTTGAAATATTTTTAGCTCTACGAAACCGTCTTATTTGCGTGAAATGTAAACTTGGTTGCTGCAGTAATATGTTGAGAAATATATTAGTTTACGGCACGGAATGGAATACGGATACTGGGGAACTCGGGAACCGACTCTGGTAAGTAGCTTAATTTATCCAGTTATTGTTTTCGCATCGTCGCTTCAACGAATTGGATCTCCGTTTCGATCACTCGGCTAAGCGCGTCATGGCTTCGTTTTTAACTCTATTATTGTCTAAGAGTCCGTTGTGACTGTAACATCTGAAAGATAATTTCTTGTGTCGCGGGATCGTTTGTTCACAGATACTACTACGGTAAAAGATTGCGTGATCGTACTACTTTGTTTTGGCCTTTGTGTCATAAATTCGAGCAATTGTCTCTTTGTTTATACAATTAAAGTGGGCGGCGAAAATATAAATCTCACGCGTTTTGAGAATTTTGAGTTAAATTATTTTGATTGTGAAAACGCAAAAAAAAAACTGATTCGAGAGAGGGATAGGGTCAGTTAAATTATTTCCCATCGGCATCATAGTAATTACTGTACTCCTGAAGTATGCGTACCAAGATGGCGGACACTGGAACGTAGTACCAATGTGTACCAGCTTAGGATTAGGCCATAATTTTAGGTACGAATACTACGGGATTCACTTGGCTAGTCCCCGAACTCGTAATAGAACTAAAATAAGGAAAATTGGAATAAAATTATGGCCTAACCCTAACCTGGTACACATGTGTCCGCCATCATAACCTGGTACATATACTACGTTTTGCTGTTTATATTTAATATATTGTGATATGGCTGTTCTTTCACTTTGATTTCTTATTTTTTGTGATGTTAACTCTCTTTCGTCGTCTTTCTATTATTCATGATCACTGTACATGGTATAATTGTTAAAATAATGCTAAGTTGCAACCTAGCTTCGTAGGTAGTCGAGTAAGTATTCTATCCGAACAACCGATTTATTTCGTAGTGTAGTAGTATCGTTTTGAATATTGTACTTTGAGATGATTCCAGATTTCTAATTATTGGAAACTATGTTATACATCGTTGTATCCTTGGTAATACGTTAATTCTCGATTCAAAAGACATTTATCCTATATATCTTCGAATTTATATTCATATATTAAAAATGATAATCCGCAATTATACGCCCAAACATATTAAAAGTAATACACCTAATCCTCGCACATTTCAACATTTTTTAACGCTTCGAATTTTCTGCTGCGTTGTTTGTGTTCTCTTAGGCGAGATAATACAAAATAGTTTCACTAGGAATGAAATTCATTGGAAACTTTGTGGATTTATTTTTCTTGTGCCATAACCCGTTCACGAGTTCTTCGAACGGCCAACCGAGCCTTATTTATCGAACGAAGCGAAATGTTCATTTTATTTTATATCTGCGAGCAGGTGTAATACATTTTGTGTGCGTTTCTAACCTTGCAGAGCGTCGGCGTTCCAGAAGTATGTGTACCAATATGGAGGTAACTTTTTGTTCGCCACTTTACATCGAGTTGTGTAACAGGACGGAAGCCTATGCGCAGGGTATGTATATTCACTTGGCTAACACAGATATTCCCCGAACTCATAATAGAACTAACATACGGAAAATCGGAATAAAATTATGGTCTAACCCTAACATGTTACACATACGGGAGTACCGTTAAATTAGCACGTAATGTTTAACCAATAATTATTCAGCCTGAATAAAACGGGATTCAAAATTGACGTTCCAGAGGTGGAACTGTATGTATAATGTACATTGCAACAACTAGCTTATATTTCCTCATAATCAGAGATAAATTCGTATGCGGATCCGCGAGTAATTTAACAAGGCTAATTTGAAACCTACAATGCGCAAAAGGTTGTTAAATTAACTTCAGTATGTACAGTATTGTTAATGACGGCAATCGAGAGTATTTTGGAGACGGACCAGTCCTGTTAGGGTGGAGTAAGAATACGTTTTGCACGAAAATTCAAATCCTTCCCAATCCTGACTGGATAATTACTAATGTTGTTATTTCTAAACGTGGCTGCGGTGTTTTCCGGTATTTTAAATTTTCGCATTATTTTATAATTTTTTTTATAACTATGAAGTAATATAATTTTAACATGTATTTGTTACGGGTTTTAACTATTATCTTTATTATAATTACAAATTATGTCCGGGTTTTGTGGGGGCTGAGAACGGAATAAGTCATTTTCCCGTGGAACGTGGAAACAACGCATGTCACAAAATCGAGAACCAAAATTTTTTGTGTCTGCAACTATTAGAAAGTCTATATTAAAATGGTGAGACCCGCGGTTTCATCCAGTTATTTGTATCTGGCCCTCGTGTGTTAAAGGCTGCACACCCCTGATCTACACAAATGGCAGTCGTCTACGTGTTAGGTATCTTGAACCCTGGTCGGATAATATGCGAAACGCCCGATACAAAATTCTGGAATGGCAATTAAGTTGAGCTTTGGTTACTCTACTTTTTACAGTTTTCAGTAATTAAATGAAGCATTTTTATAAACACTGTGAGACTAAAATGATATTATCACATTCGAAAATTACCATTATTATTAATAATACTTACTGTAATGTAAATGTAATGTCTGAAGCCAAGGTCTAAAATAGAGTCTTAAATTTTGCCCCAGATGTTGAGATAATAAATTTTTGAAAAAAGTTTGAAATTATTTCTAAAATCGTATGTCTACTCTATCGAATATCAACCAATTCGAATATTTGATTCGATTCCTAATTACGAAATCTTTTAATTACAAAGGGGCTTCCGGGACGAATCTTTCCGGGTCCGTGCAGAAATATTGAGTTAAAACGTATATTTTTAAAGAAAACTGCAATTCAAATTTATTGTCACACCGTCAAACTTTTATTTTTTTCTGTATTTCTAACAGGATTTTACTAGCTAGTTTCCCTAATATGACAGGGTCACTCAGGTATTGATATAGGTTTTGCGACGCAAAGAGATTGAAATTGCTCGCACGCACCAGATTAACTGAAAACTCGTTTCGCGGGCACACCATTTCAAAATGAGCACTTCTACCCGGGCCGCACAATTTTTCTTCGCGAACCGCAGTTTGCACACCCCTGATTTAGGCCGTAAACACTTCCACGTCAGTGTTTATTTCCCCTAAATTTTCTTCAACATAAATATATCTTTTGCCACGACAATGTTAACCGCGCATAATTGCGTACTCCCGAAGTATGCGTACCAAGATGGCAGAGACCGGAACGTTGTATGTGTACCAGGACAGGGTTAGGCCATAATTTCAGGTACAAATACTACGGGAGTCACTTGGCTAGTCTCCGAACTAGTAAGAGAACTAAAATATGGAAAATTGGAATAAAATTATGGTCTAACCCTAACCTGGTACACATAATTCATGAGTCCTCAGAATTGTGCATTCGGTGAAAGGTATTATATTGATTGGTCGTAAGATGCTAAAGCCAATAAAGGAGTGAATACGCGATGCTAATTTGAAATCGGAAATATTTCCCTTGTTATCCATTTCTTTAATTCCCTTTGAAAGTTTCCGTTCTACGTTACACAAGGTTGGAAACGCGACTTTTTTCCGGTTTGTGATGATATATAAGGTATTTAATTCAATTCCAGTTTATATTCAATCAATTTTTCTGAGAGACTTTATAGCAGACAGAGATTTTTCTAAAGATTATATCATAAAAATAATCTCGCGTGACAGCATTGCGATAGTGCTGAATCAGTGCAGCAAGTACAGGCCAGATTTGCCAAATTTATGTTTTGTTTGTGCCGAAACGCTGAGTCATACACGTTACTATGAAATTTATGTTTATTCACGTGACGACACAACTGGCATTGTTTAAAACGTTTGTGACGACAAAATTATTATTATGACGTTTAAAGTAATTGAACGTGATTGGTTGATGTTTCACAGGCGGCCATTAGTCTACGTTTCTGTCGTATAAAGTTGGTTTCTGTTTGGCAGCGTTGGAATATTTTCAAAGCTATACGAAACAGTCTTATTTGCATGAGATGTAGATAAAGGAAACTTTGTAGTTGCAGTAATATGTTGGGAATTATATGAGTTTACGGTACGGAATGGAATACGGATAGTAAGGAACTCGGAAGCATATTTAGAAGCCTCGACTCTGGTGAGTAGCTTAATTTATCCAGTTATTGTTTTCGCATTGCGGCTTCAACGAATTGGATCTACGTTCGGATCACTCGGCTAAGCGCGTCATGGCTCCGTCTATTAACTCTGTTATTGTCTAAGATTCCGTTGGGACTGTAATAATCTAAAGATAATTTCTTGCGTCGCGGGATCGTTTGTTCATAGATACTAGACTACAGATTGCGTA